TGAGATAAAGAATAAAATGAAATATTAAAATTAAGATATATCTTGTTGCATTACACGAGTATCTTTCTAGTATGTGTGTGTATATATATATATATATATATATATATATATATATATATGTCAAATGTTGTTTAAATTGATTTATGATATTGTCAACCAAATGCATTATATATTATGAACAAAAAATGACGTATGTGCATGCGTACCATACGTGATGTGAAGAAGCTTCTTCCACCCTCTCCTTTGTTCTCCTACTTTCTTTTATTGTCCTCAAATTGAAAACTTTATGTTATTACTTTCTATAAGATGTGATCATGTTAACTTTGTATATGATTAGGAGTTTGTATATGATTAGGGTCGGTCCTGAGATTTTTGGTGCCCACATAATATTACCATGGTTTCAATTTTTTACGGAATAGATTGTTGCCTCTAACTCTGTTAAAGCTTGAACATGACCCTCATGTGAAGTGCATTTTTGTACTTTAGGCTAGTTTTTTTAAGGTACAAGTTGGTAAAGCATTTTATAAAATAACATACCCCACCGCTTATAATAGTGATGGGGTGTGCAGAACCCGATTTATCTGAAATCCGAACCCAAACCTGAACCAAAATAAGGTATTTATGTAAAACCCGAATGCTTTGAAATCTGAAAATCGAAAACCAACTTTTTGGGGAAATTTTGAGTATAGGTTGGATTTGATTTTTAGCCACCCGATCCATCCGAAAACCCGATATATATCACATGTGATAAGGGTGTTTTTACGTTCTTGTAAAATGGAGGTGTTCTCACTTGAACCTCCACTTATATATATTTGCTATTGTATAAAAGATGCTTCTTCTTTGCATTTATTAAGATTCTTTCCCCATGAGTATCATAATTGGGATAGTCTTATTACTTTAAATTCAAAGAAAGCCAGTTCTTCTTTTTCAAAAAGAAATCACAGACTATTCTTTTTCCTAAAAGTAAAATAGTTTAATTTTTTAAATTCAGAAGGGCACCACTTTAAACTAATTAAGTGCAACATTTATTAAGTGTTTCAAGTCTACTCTCTCATATAAGATTTATATACATTATTTATACGGGGAAATGTTGTTTGAGAATTAGAGTTAAGATAAAAATCATAAAAAAAGATTTCGGCTATTGTTCACCTTTAATCTCAAATTCATCTATGAATTGTGCTTGATCGAAAATTGATCCAGTGCATCTCATTCTAATGTGCATCCAAGGGTGGAGATCCCTCTTTACGTTTCTCACCTTAACTCTTTTTTTTTTACCAGAACCCAACTCTTATATATATATATATATATATATATATATATATATATATACAAAGAGAGAGAGAGAGAGAGAGATGAGGTTTACTTTGCAAACCACGTTATTTTCATAAACCATACAAACCTCATTCAACCAATCATAATTTTTCATTTTTTTGTAATTATAAGAGATTGATTAATCATTTATATTGTGGAGGGTGTTAATCATGGATATTAACATCTTCATTATTTTAATTTTAGAGAAATACATGAAACAGTTTCATTAAAATTTCATCAAGTATTATATGAAATAATTTCATTATCATATATGAAACAATTTC